ACCAGGGATCGAACTCACGACTGCCTACTTACAAGGCAGGTGCTGATGCCGCTGAGCTAAATCCCCAGCCCCAAGTGGCCTGATTTTAATACAGTAGTTGTCCGTCCTCAGGAGCAGGTAAGTTGCCATCAATGGTGTGGATATGATGGTGTTTATGCTTACTATGTAACACCAGGGTGGTAGGTGGGTAAATCTCATGGAAACACAAATGAAGCAGGTTGATGATGGATTAGCTTTGTTTTCCAGAAGCTCACAGACTGGAGGAATCATGGGGATGTGGGTCAATTTCAAGATTGTATGAAAAAATACAACAGCACTGTGGAACACTTATGATCTTGTTATAGGAATGTTTATTGTTTAAAGACTGTGAGACACAGAAATGGGAATGACCAAAATATGATTAAAAATAGAGATTTCAGCAGGTGCAGGGAGACTAAAGTGCCTTCCAGGAAGATATTTCACTTATGCTGTTCACACCTTTTGACAGACTGACAAGAGCAGTGGCACATTACTGACAGGGAAGAATAATGCCTAAAATATAAAAAGATGATTAAGAAAGATTTAGGCAAATATTCAAGTAAAAGGAATTATCAGTACTTTGAATATGTTTGCAGTTGAAGAGTTTTATAAATCACTCAATCAAAATGATTAAAGACTCTATCTACAAATGTTTTGAACACGTTGAGAAACAAAAGGTAAAAATCCACATATGCGAAAAACCGAAAGAACCGAATAGTGATTAGTAGCAAAATTTAGCTTCTTAGCGAAAAGTCAGTGCCTCCCGAGAACTGGTCATGCTGGGACTGGGAGGAGATCATCAAGAAGCCAGCCAGCCTTTCTGATAAAGCATGCAAGCCATGGGGGCCCAGGGAGAGAAAAGTCAAATAAGGCCACCCATAAGCCTATAGACACATGAGCTGAGAATCAAATATCCTCTCCCCCTGTAAGCAACCAACTGGTTCTGAAGACAGGCTAACTTGACAGCAGCTAAGGTACAAAAAGCAGCTAAATGTTTACATTGATTGGTAGATATTGCAGGCTTGGGACCTGCAGTCTGGGCATTTATTGGGAGGACGATGGTATGCCATACAGCAGAAACAGGGGATTTCCTTCTATCCTGTCCTTGAAGGTCAATATTGTTCTCACTATGTTGTTTCATTCTGATGAATTGTTTTGCTTCATTCAGTGTTCTGTTGGGACTGGTTTTATTCTGTTTTACTTTGGCTTGATATTGCTATACCTGATGAATGGACAAGTATTATGAAGATAACAAGACATACTGTGGTAGTTATTGTTGTTTTCATAGCATCGTGCTTTGAAGTTCTGTACCAATTTTGCTGCTGTTTTTGACTTTGTTCTATTTTGATTTGTTGGATTTTATTATCTTTAAAAAAATTCAACTTCTCTAAGACCCAGAATCAAGAAAACCAGAAAACAACAGTGTGACCAAGAGAAATAAAGAACTGGGTCACTTGGAATTAGGAAGGAATTAGGACAAAATTAGAAGCTATAGACAAGTTCAAAAACAAATCACCAGGTAGAGAAGACAATAAAGCAATCTGGAAACTTGCAGTGTTTTCTGGCATGCAGAACTTGTTTTCACAGTCACAAAGTAAGCCATGAGGACCTGCACCTCCAGGGAGAAATGGCACATATGGCAGTGGCATTGGCCAGAGGAGGGAGAAGCCACAGTGCCTGTGAACTGCAAAGCATCATGGGGTTTTGCCTCCAAGGCCACTTCACCACACAGCAGGCAACTGCTGGAGAGTGCAGTGCCTGCTGCATTGCCAGTGAGAGTTTGATCACAGCCTGTCTTGGAGAGGGTTTGAGAAATTAGGAGTGAGATTCAGAAAAACAACAAAACACTTGCACTTGAGGGTTCCCAGTGTAACCCTTCCATAACGACTGAGTGTAACAGCCACAAGAGATAGCTGAAGGTAGAGAATGAGCCACACAAACCCCCTGAAAGATTTAAACTCAGGCTGAACTTGACATGGGCCCTCCTGTTCATGCCAAGAAGTCAGCTCATGTTATGTGTTGTCTTAGTGTTTATAACATAATTATAGAGCTTGTAAAAACATTCCAAGTTGTACATTATTGGCCCTGAAAGTATGTCAGCATCGATTTTGTCTTGAACAATATTCGTCTTCTTGATATATTTGTTATTGCCTGGGTGGAATAGGTTTCTTTTTTTTTTTTTTTCATTTTTATTGTTTTAAATTTTATTTAAGGAGAAAAAGAAAAAAAAAGCAGAGAAAGGGTACAAGTTATACAAATTTACAGAAAAAATAAACAGTAGGAAATCACTAGTTAGTGGGTTACATTTTGTCATCTTATAAAAAATTGTTCAAGTTACAAAATTAAAGCTTATAAAGTAGACATTCCAATAGTGAGACTGCAAACAGTTCTGTTCAATGATTCAACAAATCTCAGTAATATCATTATCTATCTTTTACACTTAAATATACATGCAGTTATGTCATTTAGAGCACTTTCTTTTCCTCTCTTTTGTACAATGACAATTACACATTTTGGGTTTTGTGGCTCCCACAGTTCTTATTACTTTTTTGGAAGAGAGTAGAACCAAATGTGACAGAACAGTTGGTCAGATCAAAAGGGTGGACGTAATAGTTAATGTAAAAGCATAATACTAGGTGATCAACAATGGTTACCATATGCCTTCCGCTATCTCTAATAGAATTGCCTATATCATTATTTATAATAAAATTGAACAAAACAGTAAAGAACAAAACCAACAAAACCAAAACAATGGAGACATTATAGGTCTTCAAAAGTAGAAAATAGTCAACCAGAATGGGCATTGAAAGGGTTTTGGCCCAGATACGACACTGTAGCCAGGAAAGCCACAACTGGAAGCAGGAAGCCCCATCTCCCCTGCCCCTAGGAAGTTACCTGTGATGCCCTATTCCCGCCCCTGGAAATTTACATATGGCGCCAAACCTAGGACCAATGGGCTACCTGTGCATCCCTAATGCCCGCCTTAGGTTCCACCCCAAACCGAGGCTATTTATAGGCCCCCATGCCACATGTCCGCCGGAGAGATCGCAGGACGCCAGTGGTGGGGGTGCCGGTCATCTCTCTCCATGTTCTCAGAATAAAGGCCGCTTTTTATTTTATATTTCTCATCTTTTGTTAATATTTTTCATCTTTTGGAAATAACCCTAGCATTTGGTGCCATAACTGGATCGGCAGGTGATTGACTCCTGGGACACACACCCAGTTGAGTCCCCTAGCCGATAACCAGATAACATCCTGGATTAATCCTGAGCTTTTTCCTCTCCCAAGACGTTCCTGTTTCAAGCAGCCTGCACTCTGCATCGGCCAGATTGATTTCAGGTGAGCACTCCCCGGGGAACTTTTGGCACTGGGCAGCCCCAGTCAACTGTTCTCCCCGTCTGCATGGGTCTGTGCATTTTCACGACCTTTGGACCACCCAGAGCAGGGTTCTTTCTGGGAAAACCTGTGTCCGCAAAATCTCTCATGTTCTTTGGGTTCGGATAGCCCAAAGCAGAGATTTTTGGGACCGCCCACACTGAAAGAATGCCTCACTTCCCTTAAAGCCTTGCGTTTTCAAGGGGAAAACTGTTACTGACCCCACACAGGCTCCACTGGTAAATCTCTCAGTGACGACCGGAATTTACGAGTTTTTGGAACCGTAGCCGCCGCGTGGTGCCACAAATAAGTGATGGCTTGTTCTGGACCTCCGTTTTTTTTCTTGCCTGAATCAGTCATGGGGAACGTATTTTCTAACTCCCAAAAGACGCCTTTACAATGCCTAATTTCCAATTTACATACTCTAAAAATTAAAGGTACCATAAAAACTGAACAACTAACTTTTTAATGCCAGGAGGTCTGGCCAACCTACCCACTTATTGGCAAGCCTTGGCCCAAACAAGGAATATTTGATCCCTGCATTATCAGGAACTTGTATGATTTTTGTCAAGCTGGCAACAAGTTATTAGAACTCCCTTATATTCAAGCCTTTCTTATTCTGAGAACACACCCATCTCTCATTAAGTCTTGTGCTCCCCCTGAGATACTTTTAGCTGTCTACTGCGCCAGAAACTTTTCTGTCCTGCCCTCTGTTGTTTTCCCGGCCACTGCCTGCCTACCACCAAACTTGTTCCCTTCCGTTACCTCCTGCTGGGCCCCTCTCCCCTCCCTCTATACCTGATTCTCCGAGCAGCTCTAATCCCTCTCTGTCACAGATACCTCCTGCTGTGCGATCATCTCCCTCTCTGCCTTCCGGGACCCAAAACTCTCCTAGCAGCTTTAATCCCTGTTAGCACTTCCTTGCAGTCTCCGACTTCTTCTCCTGAGAATTCTCTATCCCCTACAGCATTCTCACCACCTGCCAACCATACTAGGTCTCAGTCGCTATGTCCTTCCAGCAGGCTGCGTGATTGTTCCAGCTTGTGCCGGGAACAGTTGCCATGTTGCAACCCTCTGCCACATGGTATGGCGCTGCCATGTTCAGGAGGGACACATGGCGACAGGGCGCCGCCATGTTTTGTGTCACGTGACGGCGCCACCATGTTCCCAGGACCCTCACTGTCAACTGGTGCCCCCTTGTGGCTCCTCTTGTGAACTGCAACAGCTGCCCTGTTGCAGTGCACATGATGCTTCATTGTGCTGCCGACAGCAGTCCTCTCACTGCAAGGCACACAGTGAGACGCCATCTGCCTGTGTTTCCCAGGGTGACCAGCAGCAGCTCTGTAGGCCCTTTATAGATGATTGCTCACACGTGTCTACTGGATGGATGGCTGCCCAATGGCCCTCTGCTCTGGAAACTTCTCCTCAGGCTCTGCTACCACTTGGGAAGCAAGCTGGCCCCAAGGGACCTGTCAACATCCATATGCCTTTTCCCCTTTCTGATCTATCTCAGATTACCCTTAAATTAGGTAGCCTCTCTGTTGACCCACAGAATTATATCAGGCAATTTAAATGTATTGCTAATTGTTATGATTTACATTTTAAGGACGTTTATGTGATTCTAAATACCACTCTCAGCTCAGAAGAACAGAACCAGCTGTGGCAAGCAGTTCGAGAAAAAGCTGATCACAGACATAAGGTAAACACCGCTGACAATGATCCTGGGCCTATAGCTGTGCCAGAGCAGGTCAAGCACACTAACTATAACAAACTTTTAAAACAGGTCCAGGAGGCTAATAAAAACTCAGCTGTGTTCCTAAATTGGCTTTCTAATCCTCACGCCCCACAACCAGTTCCAGTTTGCGCACTGTGTTGGGCCGCCTCCCAGCCCCTCCCCCATGCACCATCCCAGCCCCTCCCTCCCCCATGCACCATCATTGCCGCTGCCACCTTAAGCGTTTCCAGGGGCAGTCCCAGCCCGCCCCTTCGCGCTGCATCCCAGCGCTTGCCCCACCCCCACTCTAGGTGTGCTCTGCTGGAGCACTGCGAAACAGCAGCTCAGCGGCTCTGCTCAGGCATGCTTTTTTACAATTTGGCTCTGCTCAAAAGATGCTTTTTAATTACAATTCTCAAAACTTTTAATCGAGGTTGTTGGTCACCTGATAATTTTACCAGCCTTGTGTATCAATCAAATCCTTCACCAATCTCCTGTTTAACCACTAAGGTTATAAATTCCTTTTTGCTGGGAACCACTAGCTCTATTTCAAGACAAGGGTTTTCTTCAAAGTTTTATTTTATTTGTCTTGGTCCATACTACTGCAAATAACAACTTTAAAAGTAAATGTGTTCAGAATTTGACAGTATTAGATCAGTTTTGATAGATTTATTCATAAGATTGCTAAACCTTTACTGAAAAATATTTCCATTAAAGCCTTTTTGGGCAGATTAAAGCTTTTTTTGTTAATTCTACATGTCACCCTATTAGAAAGCGATATGCCATTCAGATAAAGCCTGCTCTCTAATCTAAAATGCCAATATTAAATTCCTACATACTTACTTAATTCTACTATAGTCCAAATCCCAAACAAAAAGGCAAAACTTGACCTTCAAACCTTAGAGAGATCTTAATATGGTTTTTCATATTTTTAACACTTGTGACACTTAGAGTTCTGAGACAGGTAAACCTACACAAGGTGGAGCTGCCTGGCCCCTCCATGGTCCATGCTCAAATGCAGCAGAAGACATTGGGCAACAAAATGCCCCATCCTGGCATTCTTTGAGACCTTACTCCAGGGCTATTGGACTGTCCTAGCCACCAGAGAGTGGGTAAGTCATCCTAAGTTCTAGCCCTCACAGGAAATGTCGACACTTCCAGATTCGACACCGACAGAAAATCACTGCTGAAGACTGAGAAGACTCAGGGCCAGCAGCCCCCATTGTGGGTGTCCATCTCAGAGTCCAAGTTCCACTAAAACTCTCAGGTAAGACATTCTATATATTTGTGGACATAGAGGCCATATATACAGAGTTCTTCCTGAATATTCAGGCTGCTGTATTAAGTCCTCAATCTCTATGACTGGGTATTGATGGTCAACCTATGCCATTTACAAACAGGGCCTATTTTGTGCAGGTCCCAGTCCTAAATCTTAAAATGCCTTTTATACAGGCTGACTTAGACACACTGAGGCCTCAACAACTTCTACCTGTTGTTGCTGGTGGACCCTTCCTCAGTGATATAGACCACCCCCTTCCTTTCTGATTCACCAATTTGTCAGACAACCCTGGTCAAGACTCACAGATACATTTTGTCTTCTCACTTGGTTTATACTTTTTCAGGATACATAAAAGACTTTCTCATACTTGCTTAAGTTCTGTTACAACAAATCATTCCAAGGACTACAACCAGGTTACAGTGACCCATGCCTAAATCTAAATTGCTGGACTGCCATTCTGGTTTCACATCACTCAGGCTAAGAGGTGCCCTTCCAGCCCTAAATCTGATCATTCTGATTGGTCACCTCATCTTCTGTCACTACCCGTCTCCATCTCACAAAGGCTTCACAGCCACAGTTAACAGGCTAAGTCATGTTTTGTTATCCACTTTGGTTCCAAATTTCTTACATTCTATTAATGATTATTTTTACAGCAGGACTCTTTAACAGTATTGCCTACAGACTCCAACATCATGCATACCAGAGACAAGCCTTACCAACCTACCATCTTAACTTTTATGCTTTCAGATGGGGGAGTAATCACCTCTCAAAACTCCACTCCTCCTAACCCCATGTTTAATTTTCAGAATTCTGCCTTACCGTGGAAATGTTTCTACCTCAACATGGTCCTGATAGAATGATATGTCTAAATCAAAGGCACCTTTCCCTCTACCTCACCTGGGTCCTTAAATATGACAGTGCCATGTCTCCTCATAACATCTTGTCTCTTTGTTTTTCCAGTCTGACATACGTGCATTCAACAGTGAAGTTGTCCTGGCTAAAACACCTGGCACCAGAGTCTACCTGGACATCAACCTTCATCCTGTCGACTCCCCGAGGCTCCAGTTCAGTACCCTCTGCCAGCAGGAAGTAGTTAAAGAGAGAAATCTTTGCCCCTTTTCATAATAATAATCATAAGACGGGATATGAAAGGGTTTTGGCCCAGATAGGACACTGTAGCCAGAAAAGCCACAACTGGAAGCATAAAGCCCCATCTTCCATGCCCCTAGGAAGTTACCTGTGATGCCATCTTCCCACCCCTGGAAATTTACATATGGCGCCAAACCTAGGACCAATGGGCTACCTGTGCATCCCTAATGCATGCCTTAGGTTCCACCCCAAACTGAGGCTATTTACAGGCCCCCACACCACGTGTCCACCAGGGAGAGCGCCGGACGCCAGCGGTGGGGGTGCCGGTCATCTCTCTCCATGTTCTCAGATTAAAGGCCACTTTTTATTTTATATTTCTCATCTTTTGTTAATATTTTTCATCTTTTGGAAATAACCCTAGCAGGCATCATAATGAATCCCACTATCTTCACAGCTGTTGCCTAAACTTTCAAACCTGGTACTATCAAGCAAAACAGAATAGAGGAACATCAGTCAAAACAAGATTGTGAGAGCAATACAGGGCTTTAAATCAAGATAATGGAAAGTCAAAGTGGGTTACTATAATATATCCTGCTATTTTAAAATTTATTTTTCCCTTAATTAAAAGGATAAAAAAGTAAATAATAAAATGGAGATTGAGATAAAAGTGGGCATAACAGCAAATCAGCACAGATCAAAACCTAACCATTTAAGCAAAATAGTGTTTCACCACAAGATAATCCTGACATAAATGTAGTTACCATATTGTCTCTTTCCTTGAAATCTTTGAGTATAACTTCATATACCGTAGCATCAAATATATCAAAACAATGTAAAACCATTTAAGAGAATGACAGCATTACAGGGTATTTAGAATCAACTAACATAAAATGAACAATGGTTTCTGTATAATCTCCTTGTCTATAAAAGGTTTTGCTCATACTATCATATATAATAAAATCCAATAAGATACCACCTGTTTAGACCAATGGAGACAGAAGAACAAAAGCTTGATGAGCCTTCAAAACAAGATGATACTAAATCAGTATTACCTCTTAAGACATCATTTTCTCCAAAATAGCTGTTCCTATCATCCAATCTTCTCTGCCTCATTTCTGTTGAGCTCTTTTTCTGTCATTAGTTGTCAGTTTGTCTTCTTCATTTTGTTTTCTGTTACGTTCATTGTGGCCTCTCTGCTGCTACTTCTGGATTCTTCGTATTTTTCTTTTTTAGAATATCTTGCAGTATTCTCTGTAGAGTTGAATTGGTGGTTGCATATTCCCCTAGTTCCTCTTTATCCTGGAAGCACCTTGTTTTTCCATCAATTTCCAGGGATAGTTGTGCAGGATATATCAATCTTGGCTGGAGATTATTACCTTTCAAAGCTTGAATTATTTCCCTCCACGCTCTTCATGATTGATGGTTTGTGCCGAGAAGTCTGCTGTAATTCTGATGGGTGTTCCCTTGTAAGTGATCTGATTCTTGTCTCTGATGGCTTTTAGTATTCTGTTCCTGTATTGGATTACTGGAATTTTAATTATTATATGCCTGGGTGTTGCTCTGTTTGGGTTGTAGGTGGCTGGGGTCCTGTATGCTTGTATGAAACAACTGAGTATCTTTACCTTTTGCTAAATTAGGAAACTTCTCCTGGATTATTTCTGTGAGTAGCTTTTGTAGTTCATTTGTTTGTGTCCCTACTTCTTTTATGTTCTTAATTCTTAAGTTATAGACCCTCTTATCATCTTCTAGTCTTGTATTATTGCTGTTTGTTTCTTGTTATTTTTAAGAAGTTTTTCATTTCATGCTTCCATATTACAAATCTGCCCTCCTGTTCAGACAATCTGTCCTTAGTTTCTTTCAAGATGTTATGCCAGTTTTCAATTGGCTGTTTAGTTTCCTGGTAATCTCTTTGAACTTGCTTCACATATTCTATGCTTTCTCTATTTTCTCCATTAAACAATTCTCCCCTCTTTTTCTGTTCTTCCATTCCACCATCTGTTTTTTTCTTGGGTGGTGCTTAGCATTTCTCTAACTATTCTGCTTATGTCTAGCTTCAGGTCATTAATACCTTCATTCCTGAACTTGTCTATGAGGCTCTCGAGATAGTGCTTTATATCTATTGATGCTGTGTCTGCTGTTGCCTCTTTCTCAGGATTGGGGACTGAGGACCCTTTCTTGTTGCTGCCTCTTTCCATATTCTTTGTTCCTTATATATGCAAGCATATATAGGAGGCCCAGCTTCCTTCCCTGTCAATCACAATCTAATTGAATTGTGCTGGCTAGGTGTTCCCACCCACTGCAGCACACCAGGAAGTTCCAGACCAGGCAGCCTATGCAGGGCCTGACTCTCCAGGTCACCTTCAGGCTCTGGGACCTGGGTTGTGCTAACCTACTGGGTCTCAGCCAGCAGTGTCACATGGGCTAGGCACTGCTCACCAGTCCCGCTTCAGAAGGGGATTGGTGACTGAAGTCACTGCAGCGCCCTGTTCCCGCAAGTCTGCCTGGTCCCAGAATGTCCTCTGTTGGAGTCACCTAGACTGTGGAAGAGTCCCAGTTTTCCCTCACTCACTGAAGGTGGATGTATGGTTCCCTGCCCATCCTGCTCTCGACTGCATTCACCGATTCCTGCTCTCAGAGCTTCTGTGCATCTCTCTCCCTGCCGAGCTGATGCAGACGCAGCCATGGTGGCAGGAAACCCAAATCGTGGCTTCCAATGGCGCAGGCTCCATCTTCCACGCTGAGGCTTTATCTGTTTCTGTTATAGCACCAGGATTGCATTCCCAGTTGGTTTCTCTCAGCCCAGTTCATTCTTGGGTCACCGGGGCATATCTCCTCTTGCTTATGATTCCCTAGTCAGCACCATTCCTGAATTCTAAGCTGGGTGTTTCAGAGAGCCTCCGTAGCTGCTGCTATCTGTCTGCCATGTTCTCCCGGAAAAGAATAGGTTTCTTTAAAGTGATGCTAACGTTATCTTTGTGTCATTAACAGTACTGAAGTCTATTCACAAATGGATCAAAGTTCTGAATGTTAAAATAGAAACAACTTGCTGGAAGATAAAAAAAGTTGGAGCTCCTCAAGACAGGCATAACAAAGACATTTTGGACAGAAAGTTAATGTCACAAATAATCATACCGAGTATCAGATAATAAGGTCTTATCAAATTAAAAAGCTTCTGCATAGTAAAGCACACAATCAACAGTGAAGAGACAACCTACAAAACAGGGGAAAGAGTTTTCAAGCTATTCCTTAGACAGAGTAACATCTAGAAAATATGAAGAGTTCAAGAAAATCCTATGTTTCAACATAAAAGACCCAATCCAAAATGGCTAACAACAACGAATCGACACTTTTCAGAAGAAGAAGAACAAATAGCCAGTGAACATGTGAAAAAGTTCAACTTTCTGGCCTCTAGAGAAATACACGTTAAAAACAACACTGATATTTCATCCCACTTTAGAAACTACGTCTGGCATTCCACAATGAAACAATAACAGGCTGGTGAAGTTGTGGGATAAAGAAACAATTCTCTAATGTTGATGGGAATGCAAACTAGTACAAGCACTATGGAAATCAGTGTGGAGATGGCTCAAAATACTAAAACTAGATATTCCACTCAGCACAACTATTCTCTTGCTAAGTACCATCCCCGTGGATCTGAAGATATTTCAGTGATACCCAGATAGCTATGTTTACAACAATGCAATTTGCAGAGCTGAATCTTGGAAGTAACCCATGTCCATCATGAAATGCATGAAGAAAATATTGTATTTATACACAGTGGAGTGCTAACATAAACTATAAAACAGGATTGTGTGGCAAAATGGATGCTTGTTGAAAACATAATATTGACTGAAATAAATCAGATGCACAAGCTTAAATGTCACATGCTTTTTGTTATATGAATAACTCAAAGTATAAATGAGGAATAAAGTGAAAGATAATAGTAAATAGAGAATTGATGTTTTACAAAAGAGAAAGGGACCAAGTGATGGAGAAAGGTGTACAGGGGTAGAAGGGGGAAAGAGAGGCCCAAAGACCATTAAGATGTGTGTGTATGTGCACCAACTCTACAAAAAGAATGTGATTATCACATATTTCAATAACTCACTAATGTAAAATAAAAAATCAAACTACGAAGACCTCATAGAACTCAACAATTGAAATGTTTGAAGTATTTCAAAAGTCCAGTAATTGAAAAGCCAAATGATTGAACCATGGCCAATTTTTCCCCAGAGGTTTGAAAAGCATATACGTATGCCAAGACAAATAAGTGAATCATGACAAGTTACAATTTTGCACCATCTCACTAATGTTAATTGTAAAAATTTAAATATGTTGATGCAGAGGACAAACAGTGGCTAGTTCAGAGGGTGTGAAGATGCAGGTTAAAGGAATCAAAGTAGCATCTAGAGAGGCAAGAAGTCTAAATATCTAATGTGTAGCATGAAGAATAGGGATGGTAACATTTTCATGAATTTGCTACAGATTTGGAGTTCCAGCTGTTTTTCATCCAAAAAAAAGGTTGGTTGTCAATGTGAAGTGATGGATCTGCTAATTTTCTTCAGAGCACCAGTCATTGGTTGTGCAGTAGTAACTGTTTTATTAACTGTGTGTGCTTCCTACCATCGTGTCATATACCATATATATATATATAGTAATTAAAATTCATAAACATAGAATACCAATAAAGAGAAATTTACATAAATTTTTAAAATCTAAAAATTAAATCAATTTTAAATATTATGTTTAAGATCTTGGTTGTGAATGGTAGTATTGTGGATTAGTAGTTCTATAAAAAATTTTCCAGCTGTTCAACCCTTTCTGGATATTTGTCCTCTGGTCCTTCTTTAAACAACCCAAGCCTCTATTTCTTAAGTCTGCAAGTGTTTACTTGAATAAACTGTGTGTTTTGAATTAGTAGAATTTCAAACTAGTATTTTAACCACTGCTAGTTTTTAGTTTTTAAGATAGAATTTCATCATAGAAATTTTTAAGTTAGAATTTCATCATAGAAATTCTAACACTATAAGGATTTCTGCATCAATATGCACATTGTATGCTGAAAATAATTGGTTCTGGTACACCTTGAAAATGAATAGTATTTAGTTTTGCACCCATAGCTTGCCTTGGACAATATAGCTTTTATTATTTCTCCTGAACAATACAAAATATGGAGGAAGGCTTTGTAAAGTACTGCACTTTTGGTTAATACTAAATTGCAATGCAACCCATAAATAGTTGGTTGAACAAGACTTTATAAAACATAAATCAAATAGAGCCCTTGATCTGGGTTTATGTAAGTGATTGAGAGATAGTAAAATTATGTGAAAACAATCATATTTCAATTAGCAGAGTACCAGTATGAAAAAAGCTGGTAACAAATATTGAAATGACTTGGTAGAGCTGATGTGACTTATTTCATGTTGCCAAACCACACAAGAGATTACCGATGACCATGATCACTACACCAACACTTACCAAATCTTTTCTAAGGACCTCAAGAGCTTTCTAGAATTCCTTGAAAAACCAGATGTCATCAACTCAAACAACATTTGCAAATCCAAAGTAAGGAAAGTGGGGTGTGTGCTGGCTACTAGGGTAGAGTCACCTTCCATCCTGAGCACCTTCCCCTCAAACTTTCTCTTCCTCCTACTGCTTGGTTCTTCTATTTGGCCACCCACACTACAAGGTGTGAGATTTAAATGCTGCAGGTAGGGTTCAGATGTCAGGAACTTTGGATAAGGGACTTTCTCTTAGCTGAGGATTCATGGTTACACATGGGCCCTCAGGTCCCTGGATGTGAGAACAGAGCTCTCCCTCAAGCTTCCTATTCCTGGAGTAGTAACAACAGCTCATTGTCCCACAGTGCTCCTTAGGGCCATGAAGTACAGCTGCTGAGGCTGGGAGTCTGCTCTCCCTAGGAACACTGAAAGGTGCTTCCTGGTTCAGCCTCTTTCTAAGCACTGGTAAACAAATGACTTAACTATTACTCTGTGTCTTCATTTATAAAAATGAGGCTAATAAAAACTAAAACCTTAAAAAATAGTGCCTGTGCAAAGATAAATTGAAGTAGCATTCAGCTAGTGCCTTGGCAGATATCATGTGCAAAGTCAAGATTGGCTGTTATAATTTCCATATCACTCCTCC